GAGTCTCAGTGAGCAGCAAGCTTATCCAGAACATAACTTGGGAAACCTTTTGGTACGCTTTTTTTTTTTGTTCCCAGTAAATATACTGTGTATCCTCCCATGGGGAAGAATGATTAAAATTTGAAACAATGCCTTTAATTATTTTCTTATGTCTGTAACACTGCTGGAAATTCTGGTTTTAGAGGCGTTTAAAAAACGCCGCAATAGGTCTTAAAAACGCCGTTAAATATTTTTGTGGCGTTTAGCACCAAACGTCGAAGATGCGGCCGTCGCTATAACTCTGTGGCGCTTTATAAACGTCGCTATATGCCAATAGGCGGCGTTTTCTAAAAACGCCGCTAAAAGTTCTACCAACGGTAACATGACGTCATCATGCTATTTAGCGACGTTTTTAAAACGCCATCGTATATCTGATGCTATTTAATGACGTTTTTAGAAACGTCGTGATAGCCCCTTTTTTTTCTTTTTTTAATTGTGCTAATTTTAGGTTATTGAACCCAAAAAAAACCTATAATAAAACTGAAAAATAACACTAATATGAAATAATAACTCCCATTCACATAGTAAAATCTTATCAAATGAATTACATTAAGGAGTCGCCAAAAAAAAAAAAAAACATTCACACAAAAATCGTTTGAATTACATTAAGGAGTCACCAAAAAAAAAAAAAACATTCACACACAAATCGTTTGAATTACATTAAGGAGTCACCAAAAAAAAAAAAAACATTCACACACAAATCGTTTGAATTACATTAAGGAGTCACCAAAATTGGATGTCCCTCTATTTGAGCCAAAATAGGAATCTGAGTTCACCAAAATACAAATCTGGACATTTGAGCCAACTTGATATCCATATTCTCATTCACAATAACCACATTCACACACAAATCATTTTCCTACCATATCAACCTAGTTCACCACAATTGGATGCCCCTCTCTATGCATTGCGTCTCTGCAATTATATTCGAAATCTGAGTTTTGTTAACTTGTAATCCAACCTCTCCATCATTAATCCAGCCTCTCCATCATTGTCTCCAATGCACTTTTTCCATTTATCGCTGTTGTTCCCTGAACTTAAAAACATGAATACAATTTGGGAGGGGGGGGAAAAGAGAGAGAGAGAGAGAAGTTGATATCAGTAATCATAAATAATAGAAAATGCATCTAACCGTTGATAGCAATTCCAAAATCTAACAATCTGCCAAGACTTGTACTAAATTTGGCACCAATATTAGCAATGTCAACATGCATCAACTTTAATGGCATCTCCATTAGAGCATTGTGCACTTCATAATTGATGCATATATATTATCATCATGTGTACTTTTAATAGCTTTAGTTTCGTTTTTACGTCAGTTGTCAAGCATGTCATCTTTGCTAATATATAAAAGTAGAACACTAAATTTGTGTATATTTTTCATTTCCCTAAACTATCCAAAGAAAATTAAATTATGCATTATTAAAATCCTTTTGCTTCTATATTCATTTGAGGGTAAATGTTCAAGTAAACACATTATTCTAAAGAACTCCCCACAACTGCCTAGAACTCCCAGTTAGTTTTAAAAATTCTCTTTCCTAATTAAGAGGCTACTTAGTACACCTCTTTCTCTCTCTCTATGCACTATTGTTCAAAAATTGGCTAACTTAGTGGCACTTGCACTCATGTAATGAGTGCCACCCCACTAGTTTCTGTAATATTTCTATGCATTTGATAGGGGTCAAATCCTTTTGATGTTATAGGAGTGGCAGCATATCAAGAGGTTTTAGAGGAGAGTTCAGGCATTGGCAAATTATGCTGATGTAGTAAGAGACAAGCAGTTGCAAAAGTAAGAGAGGGAGTGGGGGTGGTTTGAGACAAGCTGTCAATTTGTCATGATAAGATTCCTTCGTAATTGAACAAAACAATGAACACATCGCACAATGGCACAAGGAGATCAATCACCAAAAATAATATAAAATCATATTTAATGATTAATAAAATTCTCTGTAATTGATCAAACAAATAAACAAATAAACTGTGATAGTCATGTCCATTTGATTTCAATTGAAGTATACTATACAAATACTACTAAAAAGTCAAAAACTTATACGTACCAGCTGAAACTGAGCCATGTGATTTATTACCGCTACATGATGTGGTAGGAAGACTAACTGATCTCTGAACTGCCCATTTTATCATGAAATCTGTGTTATTTCTCATGGTATAAGTTTCCTTGAACTTACAATACATACATCTATACTATTTATATTATTATATAATATAATGTGAACACATATTTTAAGGTCCGTCACGCTACCTCTTTGTCCAGAAAAGAATATGTGTTCATAGGTCAATAGTGCTCTCCCTATAGGTCAATAGTGAGAAAGGAATCGTCCACAAACTTCCCATGCCCCATATGTCAATAGTGCTCTCCCTATAGGTGAATAAAAGTACATAGAAGAGAACAAGGCTCTGCCATAGTGTGTCAATCATTGTGAAGATGGTGCACAACATAGTCACTCATCATAGACTAACTGAATCCAGTGTTGAGAAAAGAAATCTTGCAGAAAAAGTCCATAAGCAAATGAAAAGGAGCTAAAAATATTCTTGTTGCTTACTCTAAAGGAGAAGCAATGGAAGGAACATCAGTATCAAGCTCAGAATGCAATTGCATCATTAGGTCCATAAAAGCTGTCTGAAAGCACCATGCAGAGCAACTGTCATGAATTAAAGAGAAAGATGATGATGATGAAAGTGAGAAAATGGGTTGACCATGGGGTTTAACATATGGCTAGTTACTGTTCGAGAAAGCTCTGCCATAGTGTGTCAATCATTGTGAAGATGGTGCACAACATAGTCACTCATCATAGACTAACTGAATCCAGTGTTGAGAAAAGAAATCTTGCAGAAAAAGTCCATAAGCAAATGAAAAGGAGCTAAAAATATTCTTGTTGCTTATAAAAGTAAATATAATTACATACCGCTAATGTGTTGGCAGTAGACAGCCCAAGATCATTGTGGCAGTGCGTCGAAATAATCACATTTTCAATTCCAGGAGTGTTGGCTTTTATGTCGGCAATCAATTGTCCAAATTCATCAGGCACAGTATATACAAGAAGACCAATATAATTACATACCGCTAATGTGGTGGCAGTAGACAGCCCAAGATCATTGTGGCAGTGCGTCGAAATAATCACATTTTCAATTCCAGGAGTGTTGGCTTTTATGTCGGCAATCAATTGTCCAAATTCATCAGGCACATTATACCCAACAGTATCAGGGACATTGACAGTTGTAGCCCCTACATTAATAACTTCACCCAATATCTGATAAAGAAACTTCCTATCAGATCTGTCAAGAACCAAAAGGGAATGATATGTTAACAAGAAGATATTGCCAACAAAGACCAGTATCCTAGCAAGTTGTTACTTGTGGACACGTACTAAAACATAAAACACTGAAATCATTATAGTATAGGAAGAACCAAAGCAAATATGGATAATGTCAAATACCTCAAAGCAAACAGGGCAGTCATTATGCATTGCTCCTTCAACACAGGGATGGCTATTCTTCAAAAGAACCGAGTAGCAGCATCCTAAAAGGTATGTCCACAATATAATTAGCACAAACAATTAAAATATACTAACATAAACGTAATCAAAACACCTATATGACATATAACCAATACAGGAAAGAACAGAGACTTACGGCATTTATTGCAATGGAAGAAATTCTCCCACCCGCCAATTCTGTAACAAAAGCAAGAGAATAAAATATGTATGTGACTTTAGGCATTGAGTGTTAAGGACAATCTTTTAACTATTTACATTCTTGCTCTAATGGGAAATTGACCTTCAACATTAATCCTAATCTTAAGGAGACACTCTTGTTAAATTTGATCATTTGCACAATGTCGATTGCTTTCCTTCTAAAAAAGACCCACCAAGCTAACAAAAATCAAAACAAAAGAAGTTAAAACTTTGTAAACCATAACACTGGTATACCAGAATTGAGGCAAATTTTTTACCTGAACGTCTTCGTGTTGCCGAAGCTGATTCCTAACAAAATTAACTGCTTCTGAGCTGAAACAATAGCAAAGTTGATCAGATAATACTCATCTTGTGGTTAATTGAGAAAAATATTAAATAAATAACTATCATGCTAATTTAAGATAATTTACAGAATGTAAGTACAAGGGTCAAACAGGAAACCACAAACAGCACTGTCAGTATAAAGTAGAGTTTTTACGTCGTCATAGATATCTTCATCAGCAGTTCCAAGAGCTGCCAAGCCCAGACCCAAGCATGCACCATGCTGAATAACCGGCACCAATCAAAGTGTCCAACACCATTATAACAGAAATTCATGGTGCACAAAAGTAACCGAATAATAGATTATAGAGAGCAAGCACCTCTATGTTGGTACTGCATAGGCTATCACGAAGAAATTGTTTGATACCCTCCCCATGGTTTGCATGAATCAAGCCTAGGGCATAGAGAGCACCGCCTTTTGAAGAAACTTACCTATTTAGCCTTCTAGTGTGGCGTTTGAGATCCATGTAGGTTTCCCTAGAATGGATGCTACAAGTAGAGACGAGAGAATGAACTCACTCAATAGTCAATCCGAAATAAAATGTCTAAAACAGAAGCAACGAAAAAGGAAAAGTAGGCGTTTACAACACAAACAAGCTATTTAAAAGCAGAGCAGGTTAGGAACAAAAGCCGGGTAATGATTTTTAATTAATAGAGTCAAGTTTTTAGAGAATCTTCAGAGCTTTTATAGCTTCTTTGAATTAGTGTGATACAATTCTAACATTAGGTGTGATGCCCAGTTCTGGGAGTGATTCCTAGATACCCCGCCCAACCCACCTCTTTCTTCTTTTTATCTTGCAATTATTGCCCTTTTCAAGCCTCAGCAAAATCTGCCCAGACATTGGTTCACTCCTCTCAAGTTTTCAACTTTTTTTTCAAGCCTCAACTATAAGTTTCTGCACAAATCTACAACAACGGAAACATAGTCCTTGCGGAGTTCCTCGGAACCTCTGTAAATAAAAATAATAGCAAACACATGAACTAAATCTAAAACAGCAACTGCTAGGTACCCAAAAAATTTAATCAGAATAAGTATTGAATGGTTGATATTCATTTCAAGTATGGTTTACCACTATACAAGAATTAAATCTATGCCACATCAAGTGTCTGGTGAAGAATTATGGGTTCTTAGACTTTATGGTGCTCAAATTTGGTATTCTTATACAATGTCATGCCAAATATGGTGTTCTTTCACTATCCATTTCAGCATTTTAGCATTTGCTCCAACAAGGCCAAAATTACAAAACAAAATGGATTAAAATAGGGATCAAGGTGTGAGGAATTTGGATCCATACCATGTCCTTTGCCCACTCTCCTCAACTGAGCAACGTATTCTGACATCTTCTTAATGGCTTCCACCTAATAATAATAATAATAAGAAAAATATTGAACCCAGAAATCAGTATATCATGCTACATAAGTGAAACAATTATCTTCTAAAAGGAAATAAGGAAATTTCAGATGAATGGGAACAAATGAAATTGCATTTCACCTGCTCAGTTAAAAATTCACTTTCGACAAAATCTGTCAAATGAGCATCATTGTTCTGGCTTGTTACCTGTTGTCACAGTTAATGTCGTAAATAACCAATACCTCAACTTCACACTAGAATAACGATAGTAAGCAATTTCAAACACACTGGATTACATAGATCAACTTTTCGATCCTTGGAGTCACAAAATGTAATACAACCTCCTGGGACATTTTCTTCATTGGTCATATAGAACTACCTAAAAAGAATGAAAACTATAACAAGAACTAGAGCCAAGTAAACAAGACACAAAAGGAATGTCTTACAGCGTGCAAGTTCAGAAGTTTTTCATTTGTCAACTTCTCCAAAGACCGTGCAAGCTCCATTGCTAAATCAACAAATTAGCCACAATCAATATCAATCACTTAAGATACAGAGGTTTCAATCAGTTTTTTTAAAATAAAGGGTTCATGAGTATGAGTACACAAATTGACATGCCATGAACAGCAAAACCACAAAACAAAGGCAATTTTACAAGCACTTGGCAAGTTTGGGAACATACTAAAATAGCTAAAAGGTCACTACCAAAAAGTCAACTTTTCTCTCTACTTCTTTGCACATCTTTTAAAAAAAATTCTAAAAAATCAACTAAAATAGCTACTTCCCAAAATAGCAGGCTAAGATGTCATTGTTATCCTGGGTCTTTAATCCAAATAATAATACTTAGTTATGCTTCTGTTTTCATGAAATCGGGTTGGGTTTTCAGACCAAGCAATGTTCCATATATCTAGCCTTACCTGAGATAGGAGGGCGAGACTGGACCCGGGCCAAAACGATGGGCTACAGGCCATACATCCTTAAAAGAATCACTAGATGTAACACGGATCAATCACATGTGAGCTTGTCATAAACTTCTTCATACATTGCCTATAACCATCCAATTAACATTAACAATCACAAAGGATCTCAAGTTACTAACATATTACCTCTTCAAGCAATCAACTTTCAGACATCACACCTTTGCTTTCTGTTTAGTATCATTCACTGGTTGTTCCTACTATTTATGTTGGAGAATTCATCGATAGGGCTCAGCATTCCAAGGATCAGCTTTTCCTGTTTAATAGCTACGAAACACAGTCAAGTAGTCACATTTTCAGGGAAAACAAGATAATATATATATGGAATACTTAGCCAGGTAAATCCATTAACATTATGAATATAATTATTGATCACTCTCAATCCATTACATAATTTCTCATCTATGCATGTAATGTATGTTTACATGCCATCTCTTTTTCAAATGCATGTGTGTTGATATATGTGTTTGTACATGCAAAATTGTGGCAAGGATACATTCTTGGTCAGGGTTGTCAGTGAAATTTGAGTGCAGGGCATTCCCAACGCTCACCCGAACATTTTGTAATTGCATATATCGGTCTTTGAATGCAGAATCGTGCCCTCTGAAATCAAATTCCTAAACAACAGACTTCATAAATTATGCACACATTAATGTGGTATATCTAAAAAACAAAAATTATGCATAGGATTGTAAGATAACATAAGCAAAATGCCATTCCTCATGAAAATAATGTAATCATAAGAGCTTGGAGAAATGCATTAACACAAATACCTCCATCTCAATTCAAACTAATCATAAGAGCTTTGGCATAACTAGCAATTTTGCATCAAATTTACAGCCCTAATTTCAGAATTCACAAGACCAGAAGAATTTGTTATGAAGTAAATTCTTCAAGAAATCATTATTACATCAAAGACATATAAGCAAATCCCATGTCACTCATAAAAAACAAGAAGTAAAATGCTTGAGCTATGTTTGGATATTGGATATGTGAAGGGATTTGTAGGGAGAAGAAAAAGTGAAGAGATAAAGAGTGGTAATCTTACTGTCTTCATCATAAGTTGTGTCTCCTGAACATGTGATAATGTTTTGTGGAAAAATTGCAGTAACATTAGTTGAACAGTGGTAATCTTACTGTCTTCATCATAAGTTGTGTCTCCTGAACATGTGATAATGTTTTGTGGAAAAATTGCAGTAACATTAGTTGAACAGTGGTAATCTTACTGTCTTCATCATAAGTTGTGTCTCCTGAACATGTGATAATGTTTTGTGGAAAAATTGCAGTAACCCTAGTTCAACTGTATGAATGGGGCACATTGAACTGAAAAGACCGATCTGAATCGCTGAGATCTGAATCACGATCTGAATCGAAATCGAAGTGATATGAACTCAGATCTAAATCAAAATCGAAGTGATATGAACTCAAATTTGAATTGCAATATGAAATCGAAGTGATTTGAACTCAGAATTTTAAAATTTCGAGATATGAACTTCGATTTCGAGATCTGAATCCTTAGATGAACTTCGAAATCACTCTGATGAATCACTTCGATTTCGAGAGAGAACTTCAATTTCTGAGCATTCCATTGATAAGCAACTTCAATTTCTGAGGGTTTAGACAGCGGGGAGAGAGAGAGCTTATTTGTGAGTGCATCGATTCAATTTGGAGTTGAGATTCTCAGATTGGAAAAGGAAGCGCGCGAGACAACATGCATTTGAAGGCGTAAAAAACGCCTCCTATTCATAAAACGGCGCCGTTTCAATTAAAGAAAAACAAGACGTTTATAAAACGCCGTAAAATATTAAAAATAGTGACGTTTTAAAAAACGCCGTTAAAAAAACGCCACCTAAACCCTTATTTCCTGTAGTGTAATAAGTAGATAATGTTTGAATTTTGTGACTCACTTAAGTGAAAAAAATCTAATTCTTCTATGTTATCTACATTTTGCATGAATTGAACCCACAGTATATTATGTGTGAGATTTGAACACGATCTAACTTATTTATGAGGAAAAGTTATGTTTCCAAATTGAGTATTGATGCATAATGAAGCTTTTACCAAAAAAATAAAAATAAAAAATGGTTTTGTTTGTGGAAGGCCAATGGATTTAGGATTTAAAACTCAAAAAGGGAGGAAGGAGGCTGTAGGATGAGCTCTATTTTCAAATTGATAAACCATTGACTAACTATTTACTGTTGGGATTAAGTGATGAAATGATCATTTTGACCTTCTACTATTTAATTATGTATTATATTTAGTAAAAATTCAATAAAATTTAAATGTCTCAATTTAAAAATAAATAAATTTTTTAAACTTTTTATTGATGTTTTATTTTAAAATTTTGTTTATATTTTATTGATGTTTTATTTTAAAATTTTGTTTATATTTTATTTAATTTCATTATTTAAATTTTAATAGATGTTTTATTTAATTTCATTATTTCATTATTATTATTTTTTAAAATAAATTTATTTAATTGCGTTAGAAAACAATAAAATAAATTTTTATTTAATCTAGCTAAAAATAATTAAAATATTAAAGATATGTTTAATATTGTTATTACTTAGTAAATAATTAAAAAATGGTAAAATAGTCTTTTACTTATTTATCCTATCTAATCTGTCCAACTAAACACTGGATATATTAAAAATAGTCATTTATATACATCTAATCTCATGAGAAAACAAATACGGGATACATATCCAATCTAACCAAATAGTCCGAAGAATTTACAGACTCAAAATTCAAGTCCGATAGATTTTAATCTCCTTATCCAGCCCGTCTAATCAAACACACCTCTAGAGTCTATAATATTTAGTTGGTCCCTCAAACTACACTAACCTATACCTAAAGTGTCAGTCATGCTTGCCCAAGAATTTGGTAAAAGTTCAATAAATGTAGTGTTTGGTAGAGTTTTCTAAATATGATTTGAAAATAGGAGTTGTATTTTGAGTTTGTGAGTTTTCAAATTATAATTTGAGTGTGAAAAATTTGTTTGGTGAATGAGTTTTGAAATTTTTTTTGAATTGAATGGAGAATTTTTAATGTGACATATGATATTTGATACAAAACTTATAACTCATAATCAAACACACAACTCAAAATTCTATTTAAAACTCATAAAAAAAATTTTAAAAATTGAAAAATATTTTTCATTGAATATATAAAAATTAACATGTGTCAATTTGAAAAAAAAAGAAAAAAGAAAAAAGAAAAAAAAAATTTACTGTTCCGGTCAACCGGTTGGACGACCAATTAGCTCAAATTTTCTCGCCTTAAACAGAGTTTTTAAAATTGAATGTAAAATTAACTTTTAAAAACCGTAAACAAACGTCCAAGTTTTTACCCACTTGATAATGCCAAGGTCTTTCAGTAGTAACTCATTATTTAGCAAATGCTCAAAAAATTCTTCTCTCCATCTGCCCATCCATTCCCTTACATCTACCCACTATGACACTTCTATGTAATGGATTATCTGTTTTGCCAATTTTATGGACACTACATATCATGAATGCTAATTTGCTAATGTAATGGCTGGTCTGTTTTACAAAATAAAAAATAGATAAAATAATAAATATTATAAATATTAATTTGTTAATATTTTTTACTTTGTGCAGCCGTAATTTTTGACTTTTGGTGAATAGTGATAACTTTTTAACTTTTTGAGTAACTTTTTGATTTTTTGACTTTTTTTCCACTTTCCAAACTTGGCCTTATTGTCTATTTTCAGAATATTAGGTCAGATTATTTACGTATTCTTTCAAATTAGTATGACGTAAAAAAATTTATGAGTAAAGGAATTAATTTTTATGAAAAAAGTATAAAAAAAATAAAAAGAATAGTTAATTTTTTTATATTATTTTTTTGACATTTTTAACTAAAATAGAAAGTTCCCAAAACAGACCTCATCATTGTTGGAAGTTTAGGAGATAAAAAATTATTCATGTAATTTTTTATTAGTAAAAAAATATTACATAATAATATTTTCTGTCTAAAATTATTTGTTTAGTATGAAAATAAAAAATTGAAAAATAATGTATTCTCATGAAAATTTTAATTTGTGAAAAAAAAAATTTACACAAAAATAGATATTGTTTGAAGTTGTTATTTTTCATCCCGCACAAACAATTTAGGATATGGAGACAGAAACACATAATACTTCGATAATATCTAATAATTTTACTTAAATATTTTAAAAAAATAAAATATTTGTGAAAAAATCTAAAGTAATATAAATATGAATAAAATAAACCCAACTTGGATATTATAAATAGAAAAAAATTGTGAATAAAATAAAAACATCAAATAACAAACTCATAATTTTCGTTTGTTTTTCTCTTTCAGCAACATCTAAAAAAGCCAAATTATTGACTTATTTGAATCACATCACCTCTCTATTTTTCTATACGAATTTTTGTAATAAGTAAAAAACCCAACTTATAAGTCATACCCAAAACAAAATACGTTTGTATTTATTTTCATCAAATTAGTTTTTATTTTTGAAAAATAAAAAAACATTTTGAAAA